TTTCTAGGGTGAACCTGGTGCAGAAGGGGCTCCTGGTAAAACTGGTCCAGTTGGTCCACAGGGACCTGCTGGGAAACCTGGCCCAGAGGGTCTCCGGGGCATTCCTGGCCCTGTGGTAAGTAATGGGAACATATAATAATATTTTAAATACCTCATTTCTTCTATATACTCCGGTAAAGCAAACTTTTTGTTTTCTCTAGGGAGAACAAGGCCTACCTGGAGCACCAGGTCAGGATGGCCCTCCTGGACCTCTGGTGAGTTCCCTTCCTTTCAGGGCCAGAACAGAAAAAGCACTATACTAATAAAACCTATCATTAATGTGCCTGTGCATTTACAGGAAAATGAAAAGTCAGTTCTTAGCACAAAGTTGCTACTATTCTGTGCTGGTAAAATATGATACACAACTGCCTTCAAATTTTATTGCTCTACTTCAGTAAGCAACTGCGCTGAATGCTGCTGAGTCAGACCAGGTAGAAAGTGGAATAAGACACTGTGAACCCAAATTCTGAGTAGAATTAAAAATCAAAATAAAATTAAAGAAGCTTAAAATAAAAAAATTTACTTCTGTCCCCTCATCAGCAAAGCAGTGGTAAATTTTGTACATCCATTCATTTTAATGACTGCTAGTTTTAGGAAATTGTTGTTCATAGGGCAAAAGTTTAGATCATATCTGTTCCTTGCAGAAAGAAAAATATAAATCAGAAGTAGGGCCAAAAAGAAACTTCTACCAAAGAAGAAATTAAAGTCTGAACTGCATGGCCAGCAGGTTAATTCTTCACATGTCAAGCAAAGGTACTTCAATTTAGTGAAAAGATCTCATATCCCTCACTCTCCAAAGTCACTGAGGTAGAGTTCACCTCTGTAATCAAAGCTGAGTCTCAAATTGGGAATAAAAAGCTTTGAAACAAAATATGGACTGTTAAGAGTTTGATGGAAAAAAATATACAAATGTTACCACATAATAAATAAAATCTGCTCTGTTATTTCAGCCAGAATATATTGGATTACTTTAGGAGAAGAGGGCAATAAGGGCCTATCCTCTACTACAAAAATGGTGTGGCTCTTAATGGGGAAAAGGAAAGCCGTGAGTAGGAAATGGGAAGGAAATCCTGTTCCTTCTCCTATGTGGACTTAGAGGATACAGGTCCTTAGGTAGCCTTAATACTGAAAGGTTTTACACTTAAGCTACACACCTGAAGTCAAAATCTTTCCAAGAGCATTCCTGCCTCTCCAGTGAGAACTCAGGATCTGAACATCAGCTACAAAATTTTCATATCAGACTTCTACAGTATATAAAAAGCGAACACCAAAAAAAAGAGTGGAATTTAAACTGAAATGCTGCATAAATCAAGACTTTTACCATAAAACTGTCTTTCACTTTCATGTGCACGCGTGAACGTGAGCAATTGCCTTTTCTTTCATTGACTGAGTAACTTCTATGGGTGAAAGTATTTGAATAGCTACTTACATTTCCGAAAACGTTCAAAACATGCAACCTCTTAACCTATAAGCAGAGAGTTTCAGAACATATATTTTTATGCCCCCCATACCATAAAGATTTTTTCCAATGAACAGTGATCTGGTACATAGATATATGCATTGATAACTTCTGTATATATAATTATAGATGATATTACAATGGCACCTACATTTAATTTCATTTTTCTCTGTCCTTTAGAAAACAATAATGAGCAAATAATGCAACGATGAAGCTTTACATTACATCTCTTTGTTGCCCTTTGTTTTAACATTCTAATTTTGTCTGAAGTCTCACAGATAACATATTGTTTATACATTCTCATATTGGGAACAATATGAGAAGCTGAAAGGAAAAGGATTCCTTGTGCATCTTCTCTCTAAAGAGTTTATGATGGGACCACCACCACACTTTTTAAATTTTGTGGTTAGCTTACAGATAAAATGCATGGGGTACAAGTCAGGGAACTGAAAACTGATCTCCTCACAATTCTGTGCTGAAATCTAAAAGCCAATGGACAATTATTCAGCAATAACAAGCATCCTTTTCCCACGTCAGTCACTAGAAGCCTCCAAATACATCATCAAAAGATCTCTCTTCCAATATTTGAGAGCTTAAATATTCAATTCAAATCTGAAGCTGAGTATATTAATGAACTATATACTCCCAAATGCACAGACTTCCTGTCAGCTCAACAAGAACTTTTTTCCAATACATTGCTGCAACTTAATTTTGGATTTTAAGAAAGTAAAGTTTATATGTAAAAGATGCTGAGGTTAGGTCTCCCTCCTTCCCCTCTCATCCTCTGCAGCAGATTGCTATCAGGAGAAGAATATGAAAGCTGATTTGCAGTAGAGCACAACACACTGCAGGTGAAAAGTCTGATTCTGTATTCCAAAAGCTTAAAAATTTCACATTTCTTTCATGAATTATGTATTTGCCTAGGCTTTTGCATCTGGTGATATCCTGAAGTGGAGATGGAAAGCATACGCAGTGAATAACATTTTGTACATGAAGTGTTATGGCACTGCTGAGACCGTGCCAGGTTGAAAAGGTCACTTATAACTGCCATCCATATCAGAATTTCACAGATGTCCACTGCCACCAGGAGACTTGCAGTGAGGAGAGACTGACTTAGTCTAGCAGCTCTACACCTAATGTATACATGTTCAGGGTGAGATTAATAGCCCCTGAGAAATTAATGTCTCTTGCATATGCACTGCTTGGCCTGAATTTTTCACCCCACTCTGTACAAATTACTCAAAACCAGTACTGCCATTCTTATAAACATCTGAAGATTTCACAAATCAAGAATTTAGTTGGCCCTCAGCTTCACAGATTTCTAATCATACAACCCTTTATAGATTTCTAGTTATAAAGAAATTTAAATACCACAGTAGCATCAATTTCCCTTTTTAAACATACATTTCAACTTTATTTTGGGCTATAAATCACATTCCATCAATCACTACCATCAACCTATGTACTCTGATTAAATAAGTACATAACTGTTACAAAGCACATAAATGCACTTTGTTTTGCACTGCCTTTAATAATATTTCAAGAAAACGTGATCTGTGCAGTATGTTAAAACTTATTTTAACATTACTTCCCTTGATTTATTTAGGGTCCACCTGGCTTGCCTGGACTGAAAGGAGATCCAGGTTCCAAAGGAGAGAAGGTATGCTTTAGCATTGTTTGTGCCTTGGTAATAGGAAGAAAAAGATTACTGCCTGTGTATTGACCATATGATCTGTCCTTGCAATGAAAATCCCAAAGATATTGATGTAAAGAGAACTGTCAGTTTTACAAGAACAAAGTAAGTAGAAATAACAAACACTGGAGATTTTTATTTTGAAACAACAAAATATATATATTTAAAAGCTATAGTACTTTCTTTTGAAATAATGTATTGAGACATCTGGGGTAGCATTTTCTAACAGAGTCACAAAAATTTATTGATTGCTTGTGAGTCAGAGAAAAACTGTAGAGAAAGGGATATGAACATGACTGTACTTTGTGAATTTCAGGGGGTTTTTATCTCCTTGGATCAGCTGTTTATACAGCTATATCACATGTGGAACAAATGTGCAACTCTATGATATGCTTATAGCATATAAATGTGAAAATTGGTATGAAATTTGTACCCATAGGTACAATTTTTCTGTATCAGTTTCACTAAGGACCATCTTGCACTTGGATCTAAATAAGCAGTCACAACTTGCAAATAAAGTTTAAAAGGCCATCTAACAACAACAAATATGCTTTTAGAATAATTAATTTTCAGGTTTATTGTTGTCAAGCAACAGTGATAACATGTGAAAGGTCTAATTTACGTGTCTGCAAAACACATTTATTCTAATGTATATTGAGTTTTAACTATATTTTCTTCAATCTTGTTTAGGGACATCCTGGTTTGATTGGCCTGATTGGACCTCCAGGAGAACAGGGTGAAAAGGGTGATAGGGGTCTTCCTGGCCCACAGGGATCTCCTGGAGCCAAGGGTGATGCAGTGAGTACAACACATTTGTGTTTCCATTCAAGTTCCATACAAGCAAGGAGCACATATTCCAGGCTTTCTTTTGAAAGACAAGGTTATTATAAACATTTAACACCTAGAGTCTCCTGCCAGAGGTTAAAACTTCCTTAGGCATTGTACAAACACAGTGAAATTAAACAGCTTAAAATGAGATTATAGAATGTTTGAGAAAATGGAAGGAAACACATACACCACATTATACACACATAACACAAGTTAGGGACAAGATAAAAATAGCAGCACCAATCTCATCATGTTTATTAACTGCATGACTCAAAGTAGCTTCCTTTCTCCTTGTTATTAAGACACTGTGTAAAAAGTGAGCTTTCCAAACCAGTTTGAAGAGGAACACAGTTGTGACTGCAGTGTAAGAACAACTACAAGCAACTCAACTGTCAGATAATATTTTAAATTTGCAAACTCTTTTGGCCCCTAGCAAATGGCCTAAATCAAAACTCATCTGAGTTGAACATTTAGTTGGACTACCTTTTTCATAGGTATGCATTTTTAATCCACTGCAGTATGTAGGATACTTTAGTTCTGTGCTTATTCTCTTATTCATTTTTAGGGAATTTCTGGTCCTGCTGGTCCACTTGGACCCCCTGGTCCTCCTGGTTTACCTGTAAGTAATTTCATCCAGTCCTCCTGCTCAAAACACTTCCACATTGTGTGCAATAAACTCCAACTATAGTTCTGTGTTCTTATCCGTAGGGTCCCCAGGGTCCAAAGGGTTCTAAAGGATCCAGCGTGAGTAATTCTCCTATTTTTTGTTCTTTTACTTAAGTTTTGTGTGTTGTTTTTAAACATTGTGTAGCATGGCCAACACTGCATTTCTTTCATTGCTTTATAGGGTCCTGCTGGTCAAAAGGGTGACAGTGGGTTACCTGGTCCACCTGGTCCCCCAGTAAGTAAGAATTCTTATCTTGGCATTACATTGACACAATCCCCCTGTTTTGACAAGGGTAAAACCCAGCATTTTTGAACTAAAATAACAATGATTGTTTGAAAATTAATTTTTCGAGAATCATTTTTCACAGATCCCCAGACACAGAAATACATGTCTGCACTGCAAAGTCCATTAGAAATGTGAAACAAACACCTCCCCAAATAAAACACCCAAAAACCCCCTATATGCCCCCTACAAACAAAAAACCCTCATGCAATAATTATTTAAGGTGTATATTGAAGCACAGAAAATAGAATGATACTACTTTCCCCTGGTGATATTCTTCTGTTTCCACTATTTTTCATATCATAATAATATAAAATGAAAAGAGTCCAAATCTGAATGAAGTGTTTCAATTTCTTGAAATTAAATATTGCTTCATAGACCCCAAGTGGAATTTTGAAGTTTTATCACAGGAAACATCCACAGTTTTCACAGACTATGTCTGTGCTCAAGGGAATTGTCAGGGATACAGAGGTAACTGCAAGTCAGTTCTACACACTTATGTGAGGGCAACACACTCTTCCCCAAACAGCAATGTAGTGAGAAGAGTTTAGAGCACAACGAGGGTTTGGCTTCTACAGTCTTTTTTTTTGCCAGTAAATCAAAACACACAGGTATAAATCTGAAGGAATTAAGCGAAATAAAGAAATAAACACATTGAAGAAAGCCTATTCAAGGCATCTCCAAGCCACATTCTGTGGTCTTCCTCAGCTGAAAAACAAACAGAAAAGATAATCAGATCTGTTGCTTTCTACTCAGGGCCCTCCGGGTGAGGTAATCCAGCCACTGCCAATCCAGTCACCCAAGAAGACAAGAAGATCTCCTGATTATATGTTATCTGATGCTGGGGACAATATTCTGGATTATTCTGATGGCATGGAAGAGATCTTTGGTTCACTGAATTCGCTGAAGCAAGACATTGAGCACATGAAGTACCCAATGGGCACTCAGAATAACCCTGCCCGAACCTGCAAAGACTTGCAACTCTGTCACCCAGACTTCCCAGATGGTATGTTAATATTGCATGGCAGAGGAGACAAGGCTGAGCTTATGGTCTGCCAAGATACTTTGGCAGAATAATTAATTACTGGGAGATGGGTAATACAGTTGCTCAACAAATACAGTCTCGTTGAATCCATTTTTACAGGTACAAAATTTTTAAAAATGTAAGAGATGTTCTTTTGGTAAAAGCCAAAATTCTTGAAACACATAACCTGATCTGGTTTTAGGGTTAAAACTTTTTAAATAAAAAACAGTTGTTTTTTTGAAAGGTGGGCCTTACATTTCCAGGACAATCCAAGCAGGAGTGTGATGAAAGACTGATACTGTTTAGATCAGTGGAAAGTAAAATCACAAATGTCAGCATGCTGGGACAGCTAATTGCTTCTTTTAAAATTAATGGTAATTATTTTAGTAGCTGTATACTTTAGCTTAGCATAATAATATAAAACAGCATTGGTATCATAGGAGATTTATTATCAATTATAACTCTCAAAAATTTTACTATTCTTTTACCTTTAGAAACAATAATTTGTTCTACTGCACCACCATTGTTTGTTCTATATCAGTCAGCAAAGGTTCTTTGATACTGCTTAATACTACCAAGTACTAGCATGATAAAATGCAAAGTAGTATGAACAAGACACAATGTTCTGAAGAACTATCTTGATTTTATTATGCTTTGTTCTTTTCTTCTTTTTTTTTATAACTGAGTTTACCCCTCTGAAAAGGTTTAAATGAAAGCCAGCCTTCACAGAATTTTCATCCTTTCATATATTTTTCAATTGCAATAGATATTTTTCCCAGTTCAAAACAATATTTTTCTGTTTTTAAATGGAAGGAAAAATGGATTTTGACAGTTTAATAATATTTTATTTCTTTCGTTCAAGATAGATAAGAACAGATGGTTGCCTTGAGGAGTAGTTAAGCAGTGTATGTGCTATATGAAAAGTACATATTTTACAATTCAGTACCCTCCATAATAGGGAATGGTTTTTATAGAACACAATCACCTTCTTCATTTACCAGTATTTGCTTCTTATTTGGAGCCTTCATATAAAAGTAATCTTATTTTGGTTAAAATAAAAGCAAATGTATTCATTAAAATACAAAATTCTCCAGGGACAAGACTTACAGATAGGAAGGACTGTTTTCAATAAATACAGCCTAAATCAACAGAATTTTTAAATCCCATAAATATTTTGTCTATATTCTATATTCAGAAGACAGAACTGATGAAAGGATTTGTCATTTCTCTTTGAAACCTCTACTATTTGTTTGAAACGGGATTAGACCTGTAGAGTCAGAAAATCAATGGCTGTCCTGCTTAGGAAATATCTGGAGATAAGAACCCACAACACAGAAATCATCATTATAATTAGAATATTAGATTTTAAAAAGCAGTGACTTTTAATGGACCTTGGATGGACTGCACTCTCTTTCATGCCCAGCCTTCACTAGTTTCACTAGCACTGCATCTTCATAACCCAGGAGTGAAAAGGTCTTTGTGTGAGGTAAATCTCTCTCAGTGGAAGCTTTAGGTACTTGTGCCAGCTACAACCCCACCAATCCCCAAAAGGGGCACACACCTTTTTATGCAGATAACTATGCAAATGACTCCAGATTTTGCTCTCTGACCTAACCCATAGCTTATTTCTGCCTAAGGCTGCCTCTGCTCTGTTTTGGAGAGTACTCTCACCACATGCACAAATTATCCTTCTAGCTGAAATACTGAAATGGCCAGATTTTTGAGACTTGCAATATATGTTCCACATATACTGTCATTCCTCCTCTAGTCCAAGGTGTCTGTCTGCAGTTCCTTTCAAACCTCAGCAGTCTGCTGCAACAGAACCACAGTTTGAAGTCAAACTAGACAAAAACAAGAGAACCCAGATAAAAACAAACTTTGATCCTGGTGTTGTCTTTCATAAATGACAACAGCAACAGATCATAAGGCAGAAAAGAAAAGGTTGCTTTCTTATTAGGATAAAATAACTTTGCTACACAGTTTGGAGAACCATTAGGTAGCAGTAAAGCCTAGTTTATCCAAATACCAATACTACTATATAAGGCAAATATTTTGTCATTTGTTTTAGGGGAATATTGGATTGATCCTAACCAGGGCTGTTCTGGAGACTCCTTCAAAGTATACTGCAATTTCACAGCAGGTGGGGAAACTTGCATCTACCCAGATAAGAAATCTGAAGGAGTAAGTACCAATCTGTGCTTTCAGGTGGCTGTTGACAGATCCTACTGTGCTGTTGCAATTTTAAACTAAACAGGATAATTACACTGTCACATTTTCATATATCTGTCTTTCTAATTACATTTTTAAATTTGCATACCTCTGAATGGAGTGGTAAAATGGTACATAGAGTTAACAAATACCATTTTCAGTCTTAGACAGGGAATCTATGCACCTGCTTGCTAATATTTCACTGCCTTTCAGAATGCAACACAGCTGAGCAGCCAGTTACTCAACATAATCTAGCATTTGTCACCTAAAAGCAAAACTCTTACTGTGTTTCTCTTGTGGGTTCATTTATAGCTATTCATTTATGCCTATGCAAAGTAGATGTAAAACACTATGTATTAACACTGTCCTTACTCACTGTTACAGACTATATCAGAGGGGGCAGAAGGTATAGAGGAAGGCTTTCTAAAAGCTTGCCTAAATGAGATCTATCAGCAGAAGCAGGGAAAACTCTAATTTAGACTCTCTTCACAACAACAATTCATACCACCAGTTTACCTGAATCTTAACAGATTATAATGGTCTCCCTTAGTTAGAACTAACTCTCTTTATAAGCTATCGCCTTGAGTTCCTGGCAAAGTCACTAGTTTGAAGGCATTCTATACAAGAAAAACATCCTATTTTAGAGCTTTAAAGTGACTGAGATTTCAGAAAGAACCATTGTTTATTATCTGGTGTGAAATTTGTCCCAAGTAATATAAAACCTTCATATCTGTTAATATATGTTTTAAATAATTCTGTCTCTGCTGTTTGATTGCACAGGTTAGAATTTCATCATGGCCAAAGGAGAATCCAGGATCTTGGTTTAGTGAATTCAAGCGAGGCAAACTTGTAAGTTGTCACTGCAACATAACTGTATTCACAAATCAGGTGCACATTATCAGCGATCAGCAGATCCCAAGGAATTTTATAAATATTTAGATAATGAAAAGACCCCCAGCCTTTTTGCCCTAAATATTACAGCAGTTATGTGGCCTCTTACCACTGGACAACAGAAGCCTGCTTTGTGTTGTCCCACGGTGATCCCAGTGGTCACCTGCACACCTGATGGTGAGGATCTGCCTTCTGGCAGACCACACATCACCACTGAACCTTAGGAAAGCAGCTGGAGCACAGATCTGCCACCCCAGTGCAGTAACTGGAAATATACTGAGTATGAAAAGATGAGGCTGCAGGCTGACATGACTTTATGATTAACTAAAAACAGATTTCCAAAGAGATTCTACTGTTTTACACTATAAGATAGGAGTAATTATCTGTCTTTCCAAATGGAATGAAGCTAAAATATGTGGTTCCTCGTCCTAAATATATTGCTACATTATGAAAATCTATTTACTGAGTCATAGTTGTACTGACCTTTAAAACTCCATAAAATGTTATATGTTAGTTAATTTTTTTTTTAAGAACAGCTATGTGGTTCTTTTTTGTCAACAATAATTTTAGTTCGCATTGTAACAAAAAAAAAAAAAGATAAATATTCATCTAACTTCTTGTATTTTCCAGCTCTCCTATTTGGATGTTGAAGGCAATTCCATTAATATGGTCCAAATGACATTCCTTAAACTACTGAGTGCCTCTGCCAGACAAAATTTCACTTATAACTGTCACCAGTCTGTAGCTTGGCATGACGCCCCGTCTGACAGCTATGACAAAGCACTGAGGTTCTTAGGATCGAACGATGAAGAAATGTCTTACGACAACAATCCTTACATCAAAGCTCTTCACGACGGCTGTGCAGTAAGTACACGCTCAAAGAGCCTTTACAAAACCAACCTGTCATTTAAAGTAGAAATCAGACAAATCTATTTTTCATAGCTTTCTTCTGAGAAAAGCTTTCTAAACACTTTACTTTTCATATACTGACTTTTAGTAGGTTTTTAACTACAGTACACTAGTCCCATATTTAAATTTCACATACGTACCAAAAAGAAATAACCATAAGCCAAGCTACAGAAATGGAACAAACCTGGAATGGCCATCAAGGCATATGCAAACAGAATATTTAGTGAATACAGAAAAACATGTATTAAATAAGCCATATGTATGTACCCAAACATAGTAAATTATTTTAATAGTTTGATATGTGACTTTATATTTCCTTTCCTCATTTTGTGTAGTCAAAACCAGGTGAAGTTTGTGGATTTTACTTTTCAAAATCCTCCTTTAGCTTTGCTAAAATTCCCAGAGGTGTCCAAACATGCATCAGCTCTCTGATCACCTCTCCATCAGGGTCTCTGTGGGCAATACAACTGTTACCACTTTTCAGAAACAGAATGATTTGTACTCAACACTTTGAAACAAAGACATCAAAAGAGCAAGTGACAGTTGAAGCCTCATTAATTATTTTGGGGTTTGATATGGGAGCATTTTGAAGGCAGTTTCTGAGAAGTCAGTGATACAGAATTAGAGACCTGAAAGTGCCACCTGGCTCTCAGACAGAGATGCAGCTCAGGAAGTGCAGAGTCTCTGCTCAGCAGTGAGAGTCTACTACAAAACTGCTTCATGTCAGCCTTTCTATATGCTTTGTATTTTTATTTCACTTTTGTTATCCACAGTGGGTGAATGCAGAGCTCCTGAGAGAGCTGAACGTTGTAACTCTGTAAACCCTCAGATCTGTCAACTTGGATGCTTATCTGAACTCCAGGACTCTGGCACAGCTGAAGGGTCTCAGCAAATACAAGAGACCATGTAAAGGAAGTGCAGTTCTGATAACTAACATGATGACTTGGCTGCATGACATATAGAGGAGCTAGAGAGCTTTCTTTGGGCAGCAAGGATGTGCCTTCAAAGCTGGCTTCTAAGTCCATCAGTTGGCAGTCCTGTCAGACTACTACTTTCTTTCCTGTCCAAACAGCTGCTGTAATATTTTGTGAGACAGTTACACTCTTTCTCTTTCAGAACTAATTAATGATTTTTTCACAAGGAAGATGTGCACTGCTATGGGAATATTATTAGTTATTAAATAGTACAGACATGAACTGAGAATTCTTTAAGAAAGATGAAATGTCTTAGATTAGTTTTCATTTATAGGTCTATTTTAGTAAGTCAAAAAACTACTGCCTATTCTCCTTCTAAAATCAAAACATTCTAAAAATCATAAGACAATTTATAAACATAATAAACTTTAGAGTTTGCAATATCTGCTGCCTGACGGGGCAAAAACTTACAAATTCTCCACTTCAGAGATAACCTGTGAAGATCTCCAGCACATGCTCACTGCTCTGATCTATAACCATTTGCTTTTTTTTGCTTCTCTTTTAACAGTCAAGAAAGGGCTATGCAAAGACAGTGATTGAAATCAACACGCCCAAAATAGACCAAGTGCCCATAGTTGATGTGATGATCAATGACTTTGGTGATCAGAACCAGAAGTTTGGATTTGAGGTCGGTCCTGTCTGCTTCCTTGGTTAAGCTTAAGACAAAATCAGATCAACAAAAATGTTGCACTTTGGTGCTACCAACCCACTTCATGCCACATGCAAGTTTTGAATAAGGATGGCATAGAAAATGTGTCTTGCTGTGTATGTATGTCTTATCTAGAAAGTAATCATTGCCCTTGTAGGGCCAGAATCACATGACTTAAACTTATTTTGCAAAGATGCTGTGGCACAGACAGACAACATAGGGCTCACTTCAGGAACAACCCCTTTGGATTCCTCTGGTGCTGTAAAAAACGAACAACATGGTGCTCCTTCCATTACAACAAAGAGGTGTTAAGAAAGTATTTAATAAACTGTAATTATTCTATGTACAGTACTATACTGTTATTTCTCTGTCCATTTCCAAAACTTGCATGTGTCTCTGAATTGCATCTGGCTGTTATTTTACATTTACAAAACTACATGGTCAATACTGTGTATGTATTCTGAAAAAATAAAACTGTAATTGCTGGTGAAGCCAATTCCATTTCTGATTAATAATAAAAATCCCTTTGTATATATTGTTGTTGAAAAGCTTTGTTATTTGAAGTTGCCAGTAAACTTAAGGTGGCAAAACTGGAAGATCTTGAGCAGCACACTCAAACAACTCTTTTCTGCTGATATCACTCTGTGACAATGAATTTTGATAATGAAAGCACCTTCAAAGGTGCTGTGTTCCATGGTGCTATACCTCAGACTTCTTATTTTCTTTTCTAATTCCATAATTTCATAAGATAACTGTATATACCTAAAAGAAACAAGTTTATATTTTTGGGTGGGGAAAATATGTAAGAAAAAAACAAACTTCTGTGTAAGAGAACTGTTAAAAAAATCTGTGTGAAATAAATTAGTCATATAGGTTTCCTTTGTTGTTTTTTTTTTTTTTAATCTCATCTAGATTTGTTTCCATTGTGCTTATTTGGTCTGCATAAATATAAAAACTGAATTCTAAACAGTTATTTATGGAGTTTTGCAGTGTTTACTTAGATGTTTATGTAAGCAATGGATGTTTGCTTCCTGAACTGGATACTAAAAGTTCCACAGAATGGTCCTATACAATATTTGCCCGTCCCATTAATATGAATGATTTTTCTTCCTGTTATTCCACCTGAAGGCCAGGGATGCAATATGTCTAGGTCATGTGATTCTACACAGTTGCTAAGCAACATACGAGGGACTGCTTCCTACAGAGCTGTCTTTGACCCAAACCCTTACGATTCGCTATTCAAAGCTCACCAAAAACACAGGTTGGTTTGGCCTTCCCTCTGAACATTTTATTCAGGTAGTTGGAAGTAGAAATTACATTTTAGCTTTACAACACAAATCCTTTTGTAATTATTTTTCATAATATATGTAAGACTTGAAAAGAAATGTTTGTTTCTATTTCTTATAAATTGTTAAATTAAATAGTACTAGTTTCTGCTGGCTCGTTTCCAACTGGTATTTTCTTATGCACGTTTATACATGTAAAAGTGAGATTTCAAAAGTCAACTTCTTGCTGTTCATATTTTCTTTTATTTTTGAACCAAAGTTTGTAACTGTCACCTCAAAGAGGAAAATACAAATTTTATTAATAAAATCAAGTCTTGTCTATCTGGATTGGTCATTCTCTTATTTCAGTGTCCAGAACTCACCCACAGTCATTAGTGTAACTTCATTCTGCTTCCAGACCATCCAGGCTCTAAAGAAAAGTAATCTTACTACATGTCCTGGCAAGCACTGGGCAACAGCACTGGGAGGAGAAGTGTCAACAGTGAAGCGGCTGGTCTGGCCATGTTACTGTGCAGCAGGGCTGATAAGTTCACATCTGGCTTGTATGGAGTTGTAGCTCCAGCAGTCCTCATAATACTATCAAACATGAGAGAGGAGCCTGATATTCCATCTCCAGCCACTCTTACAAGATACAATGTCTGTCTGCTTCACAGTCTTGTGCTTATCCTTGTAGGATCCCATAAAGTAGGCAAGTGACCCTACTTATTAATGGGAAACAGAAGACAAGAATTAGACCAAGACTTAGAAACTACTGGAACACAAAATTTCCAGCACCTTGCTTTAGATAATGGAACCAGAACTGGTGATGGGTCCCATCTAGAGACATGACATATGTCCCCAGGGCCTTCTCCAAAACAGCCTATCTTTTTTTAATCTGCTAACTGTTCTTTATTAACTCTAGTTATGTCTAAGCAAGCTGTGAAAGCAGCTCCGATAATTTTGGCAGAAGAGAAGCTACTTTCTGCTGCTCAAGTGGGCCAGGTTAAGTTAGGGGCTGAGCTGTTCAAGCCTGTCTAAAAAAAACCCCAACACTTCTGGGTGATATGCTTTAGGGTGATATGGGTAAAAAATAAAAATGGCTGTGTTTTTACAGAGTCAGGATTAGTCTGCAGCAGAATGTTGTTTCTAAAAGTGCAATGATGTATTCAAGAAGCCAAATGAAACCAGATTTTTCCAGAATTAGTCAAAGCATCTTGCTAAGGTTTGTGTTGGCAACATCCCAAAAGACAAAATAAACTTGAGTCTTCTACACTTCTCAGGCAAGGACCCATCAGGTTTATTCTTTAACCCTTCTTAAGGCCTTAACCACATACCTTACTATTTATCCTTGTCATGAAAACATCTCACCACTGCCAGTTATTCTCACTCCTCTTTGTCCATTCTCTTTTTCAAAATGCTGTTGTTTTTCCTCTCCAGGTTTCAGATTAAAGGGGGAAAATGCCATTATATATTCTTGCCTTTAAGCAAAAATTATGCTCTCCGTTTTTCTCTCGACAGAAGTCTCATCTTAGCAGTGCTTAAAAAGCAAAAAGAGCACTCTTTAGAACAAAAAGAAATTTCACATCAAAACTCACACATTAGTCCTCCTATAAAATAAACTTCAGATTCTGTAATTAAATCCTACTAACCATAAAAACATAAAACCTCAGATTCAGATCCTTCATACACTATTATAAAAACAAACTTACAAAAAATTATGTAAACCAAATTCCTCACTGAACCAAACCCAAAAGAAAACAAGGAACAATATTTTTCCCATTCTAAATTAAAAACCTGTGCAGTCCCAGACACTGGGCAGTTTATCTTGAAAGTTTGCTTCAAGCCCCTCTAACCAGAAAAGCCATCCTGGAGGTGGTTTCCCCACTGCAAACACAGATTGTGGTTACGTTGCATGGAAATGGAGTGAGTCAGCACATGGCAAACACAAGCCCACAAATACTGAGGCAATGTTCTGTCCAGAATAACACAGATATACAATAGAGATTTAAGTGACAAGCTCTGACCATCAAGGCATAAACTGTTCTGTGTGTAGGTGTAGTTTCTTCACCTCTCTCTCCTTTCCTCTTTCTAGCCCAGGATAGGGCAATATCAATTCACCATGACTGGTACATCTCTTGGAAAACTTCATAAAATGTAATGAAGATTTTATTTTCAGTCTAAGCGGGCAGCCATTATGGCTAACATCAACAGTCACCCTGTGACACAAAATGCTACCATCTGATTCAAAAAATAAGGACAGTTAATCTGCTTAAGATTTTTCTCCTGGGGAATGGCTTTGTTAATTTTAAAATGAAGCTTCACATGCTAATGACTAGAAGGAGAAGCTTTAAAAGCCATGGATTTTCTATTGCAAGCACACTCATTTTTCTGTGAATGAACATCTTCTATTGTACATGCACCAAAAAAACTGAAAATTACAAAGACAGCATATTAAATGTCCTGTCTATTATGTTTACCGAGAAATGTGTCTTATTTGTGTTCCTTTGGTAGGCACATAAATTATCAGAGGCTTATTGTTAGTTCAGTGAAAAGCAATGCCAAGATTATTGCAAGGGAGTAGATTGCTCTAAAGCTATTTACACATTTTGTTTTCAATAAGAACACTGAAGATAATTTCAGTGAGGAAGGCTGCAAGCACACAGATATTCAGACATATTGCTCTGGCCAAAATTGGGCTTGTTTCTTTCCCAGCTGTTGAATGAAGGTTCAGTTCTAATGAGGGAGGATGGAGCCAAAGCCTACATTGCTACCACGGACGGGTTTTGTCTGGGTTGTCCAGGGAGCTTTGGCAGACCTTGACTTTTTTTCCAGTTTCTCAAGGGTAGAAGAAGTGATCTCCATCAAAACACACCTAACTTCAGTAAGAGACAGGAGTTGTGAAGAATTCAGCAGTGGGACTGGGATCTAAGTGCCTTCTCTGCTCCCTGGTATGATCTAAGAAATTTTTTTTTTTAACATCAAAAAGGCATTGTAGTTAAATCTTGCTGAAGCATAAAAGAACTCCAGCTTGCACAGATTAAAATGCAGATGAAAATTAAAATTCAGTCCACCCAATAAACTGCCAGAAGAAAACCAAATTAATTCTTCTCTAGCCCCAGAAGTTCTCTAAACTGGATATGGTGTAAGGATGTAATGGTTAATTAAAAGAACCTTTCTGAGTTTCCGGGGTTGGGATAACAAGGCTGCCCAGAGTCCCAAGGTCATCTTAACCAGGAATGAACACAGAAGCCTCACACTGAGTTCTCCTCTCAACCTGAAATATCTCATAGCCAAAGATCTTGAAAATGGCCACAGCACCCCCTATGCTGCAGCAGTGCAGGGCCACCAGGTTGTGGCCTGCAGAGGCCCAGCCTGCAAGCTCTGAAGTTCCCCAGCACAAATAAAAAGTAAACATAGCTACAGCAGAGCCATAAACCCGAGTTTTTAAACAGAAAATATTAACTAAATGTTGAAACCCAGAATATGACTCACAAATAACAATAACAGCATTACAATATAATTGTTGTTTCTGAAATGGAAACATTGATTTGTTATTTGTTAGTTTACTCAGCATCTTATGCAGGAAGCCCAGTGAAGTCAGCCAGGGTACTGTCATGGAGCTGCATGACTTGTAGAGCAGGTACTCTTCGTTACAGCACAGAAAGTAAATTTATTGGAATGAGAGGTGAAAGGATTTAGAATGAAGTTGTTTTTATTGGTATAAAACCTTCTTTCTGTCAAATATTAACAAACAAAAAAAAAAGGTAAAGTTTTATATTCTATTCATACAGTCTCTTGGGCCTGTGCCTTTTTTTTTTATTAGAATATCATCTCAGTGGCAGCTCAGGTGAGAAAGTAGCTCTGCTTTGGGGTCCTGTTGCCCAAATTGGCTCACAAGATAACACAGCACAATGTGAGGGCTCAGGCTCTGGAGAATGCATAAATAGATAATCTTCATAACATTCGCTATTCAGTAACTTTCTGATTTGGATGTATAGGGATCACTTATCCTTTTGTTATTCCTCAGAAGGATTTTAGAAATATCCACTTTGCTCTAAGCCTGCAGAGTTGTTCAATGCACAGATATTAAGATCAAAGCTGTTTACTGTCAGAAAGGGCCAGAAAAGGAATTTTAATTTCTAAAAACTTTCCACAGCACTTTAAATTCTGGAAAGACCAAAGTATGTTTCACCTTCCAACTTCTCCCACTTTTTTAGCTGTGATGTTTCCATTTGAAATTATAAGATGTTTTTCTCCAAACTGATGGAAAATATTTGACTGGTAGGAGGAAGTCCCCTCATAGCCACACTGAGACAGTCCATGTGCTGGGGTACAGGAGCTGAGCACAATACTGACAGTGGAATAAAGGTGCAATAAAATAGAAGAATAAAGGCACAATAAAATAGTTTCTCACAACAGAAAGGAGGAAAATGTGCAGGGGAAGCAGGAAATAAGAAAGCAGTGGGGAAATATGTGGGAAAAGGATGATAGGAGAATTTGCTTCCCTCAACATAGGGCAAGAGGGTGAGAAATCTTTATGGCCAGTCTGGGAGCATCCCATGTGATTGCTGGTGTAGAGCAGGGGTCGGGGTCTGTTTCTCATTGCCAATTGGCAGGGGTGCACCAGCCCCCTGGTAAGGAGGCAGCAGCAAACCCGGTTTACAAAACACACACCTAAAACCAACAGCAACGATTCCATGTCTCTACGGAAAACACAGCGCTGCTAATACCTGCAGCACTGGCTGCAGCCACGTCCCTGTCCCTTGCTCTCCATCCCCTCCCTTCCCACGCTCACCACTCACTCTCAAAACAGTCCTGACACTGCTTGCTCTGCAGGACCTCTATTCTTGTGGAGCAGCCACATTATTTTGTGGCACTGAGGAACGACATTTGAACTGGCATCACATCTTTCCAAGAAAATTTTCCTGGAGAAAGCAATAAAAAAATTTAAAAATGGACAGTACACGTGAACTGACAATACCTGAAATTTTTCCTGATTAAATGATTCTTGACTATTTCAAGACATTATGCAGTTTTGCATGTATGCATTCATTTCTCGTGTTTTCCATAATCTTTCTGATGACTGTATGCACAAGTGTACCATGTAGAAACAGCAGCTAGCCAATGTGATTACTCATTAAATTTAATGACTAGGTTAGAATCATCTACTATAAAACTAAGATGAAAGAGAAATCACAAATTTGATAGCCAACTAAGGGCTGAAACATATGCAAGCACAGTTAGTTAATAACCTCTTAATATGCATAACAATAAATACATCATATAGATATACAGCAAATTCAGATGCACGTTACCCAAGTGGAACTCAGCTGTGATGGTGTATGAAATGATACATTTAACACTAATGAGAGGCATAACTCAGAGGAAGCAAAAACATCAAAGTACTTTAGGGCTCTCTTGCAACACTGGAATATTTTTCATAGCCAGATATCATTCCGAACTTTTCTGTTTAAACACAGTGAAGGAAGACAGAGCTTGATGTGTGCCCCCAAATATCTGTAAATAAATGCAGGCTGACTCACATACACAGAGGTCAGGGCTGTAACATTGCAAAAAGCAGAAAAGGGTAAAGCCCAAGGCCTACAAACACAGTATGTGTGACAAGGGAGGATTACAAAGAAACATGACCAAGTACAGCTGAGGAATCATAGAATATCCTGAGTTGAAAAGGACTCACAAGGATCACCGAAGTCCTGGCCCTGCACAGGACAGCCCCAAAAATCATACCTGTGTGCCTGAGAGCATTTTCCAAATGCTCCTTGAACTCTGGCAGGATTGGTGCTGTGACTACTTTCCCGGAGATCCTGTTCCAGTGCGCAGCCACTCTCTGGGTGAAGAACCTTTCTCTAATATCCAACCTCAACCTCCCCTGACACAACTTCAGGCCATTCCCTCAGGTCCTGTCACTGGTCCCCACAGAGAAGAGATCAGTGCCTGCCCCTCTTCGTCCCCTCACAAGGAAGTTGTAACTGAACAGACGAAGTGACCTCAGATGCTCCTCATATGGGTTCCCCTCAAGGCCCTTCACCATCTCTGTAGCCTCCTTTGGCTGCTCTTTAATAGGTTTAGATTTTTCTTGTATTGTGGCACCCAAAACTGCACAGAGCACTCAAGGTGATACTAGCACTTGAGTATTTGATGAAATACACAAAAGCCCTCTTTTAAGACATGGCTTTAATTACACTTATTTGGATATTTATTCTGAGCAAAGCTTCCACCTCTACCAAGGAGGGAGTTTGCTCTGACACTGGCAGCACAGGTTCTGTGTCCATGGGGCTGCCTCAGCCCAGCATCATTTTGTCAGGCATTTTTCTTCCCCTCAATTCTCATTTCTCCTTAAAAGCATCATATTAATGTCCCAGACAAAGCACCCACAGATTTTTATATCTGTAGGTGTGGAAGAAGCGGATTCACATTTAGTTGTTATCCCTTCAAAGGCATAAATAAGGTTAAAAAAACCCAACCCAACAAAAAACCAAAACCCACAAAATACAAACCTTTCCCTCTCCTCCTCACAACGCACAAAGCTGTGCATGTGCTCTGGCAACCTTTTTGGAGAGTGAAGGGAAGAAGAGCATTGGTTTTTTTTCTTTACCTCAGTATTTCTGTGGTAGAAAGGGCTGCAAAACCTGAGTAGCTGTGGGCCTTCTAATAGCAGGTATGCAAACAACTCTATAAACTAGCTAGGGTTGTGTGTCATTGGTTTTGAAGCACCATTCAAAAAGTTCTTATGCTGAAAACTCTTCCACTGAGACATGAGTCATAAATAAGCAGCTTTGTGGTGGATGCAGTAGCTCCTCTTTCATGTAATCTCTTTTCCTGAAAGCTTTGAGAGCTAAGCCACATTCAAGGTTTTGTGGTTGAGTCTGGGAGCTTCCTTCAGTAATCTCATTCCTGAATTAATTGCTGCTGGAGCTCATCACCCATAATAACATTTCCAGAATCTTTCCCTTATTATCTTCATCTGTCAGGTTAAATTCATCTTTTTGACATGACACACATTAAAAGGTCTAAAAGAGAAGTACATACTTTGTTACTCAATAGGAAGAAGAAGCACACAGTGCTGTTACTGCCCACAGGTCTGCTTTTGCCCTTCATGAAACATGAAGGACATTTCAGCAAACTTCACAGATAAACACCTGAAAATAAGAAATCTTCTTGTCCACAGTCCATCACCTTTAAGGACCATGGCAAGGACTCTTCTACTTTCACAGTTTCAGGATGTTTCTATGCAACAAGTAAGAGACCTGCACCAGTCCTACACATAGACAGAGGCTGGGCTCTCTTCCCCTGAGTTCTCCTTGCCTGCAAATTGTCTTAGGCTGAGGGTATCAGAAAAAAAAGGGGATTATAATTTTTGCTCAAAGTATTCAGCTGCCAGACAGCCAGGTGAGGACTGCAAGGTAAAACATTCCTGAGCAGGGGAGAACTCCAGACCATTATTCCAGGTAATTCTTAAGTTAACACAGGTGCAAACCATGCATTCCCCCTTGTTAACTACTGTTCCTATCAAGACTGCAAAAAAAAGTCTTACCCTTAATGAGGTAGGATCCAATTATACAGGAAATGCATGGACACATTTCAAACACCTGGGGATAAAAAGAGAGAAAGGTTAAGACAGTTTTGAACTGTATTCTGTCTCAAAAGAAAATCAATGCAAACTCTCTCTGTCAGATGCTTTTATAATATCTGAAAAAAAAATACACACAAATGAATTTTATCTGGATGCTTTTGTGAAAACACAATAGAATTGAAAAAAATTGTTTGTGTAGTAAATGCAAAGCTTGATGTATCTTACAGGAGTCCAAAAGTTTTAAGGCAAATCCAAAGAAACTGTTTCAGTAGGCTTAGGTTTCCTGCACATGGGTGCAATACATTTCATTTTTCAAGTTCTTAAAAGCTTTTATATGATGTTTGAAAAAAAATATCCTATCAGTCAATAACTCATTGTAAACATATACCAGTATAAAACATACAAAATATACTTTTATAGAAGTTACTCACATAAGTATAAATTCATATGAAGATAAAAATACATTCATGCTTTGCTGTGGTGAAATCAACTACTCGTAAGGGCATTTGCTCTAATTTCACAAAATTTCCCTGTTTTGTGATGGTATCAAACCAAGAGTGCAGAGAGCTACTGAGGGCTGATACCAGGGTAAGTGAAAGGGGAATCAGAGTCATTCTGCTTTTCTGACTATTATGGTAATGTGATCAGTACCTTGACAGATGCTAAGAATAATTTTGCTGATTGACTTTTCTTCAAACCTAAGGCTGTGGGCAATCAAAGAAAATATGAACATCTGGATAAGCTTTTGATTGCCATGCTCACTGATATACTGCACCCAAATAAGCAACAATTAGTACAGCTTATGTCAAAAGACCCATCAGTTAATTCAAATTAAGGCAGCAAAATTGAATCCAATTGGCATTCATGCATATTTGTATGCATAGTTTAAATAAACTTCTTCTGCACTACATTATCCTTTATTTACAAGGAAAACACATGCAAGTTTTGTGTTTTAAATAAATATTTTCAAAAGCTTTATGATCTCTTAAAGCCAAACTTCTGAGCAAACTCTGTGTCCTTTGGAAGGGCATATCCAGTATAATAAAGATAAAAATGTGTTGGCTTTCTCAAGTTTACATTTCTCACTTGTTAATAAACTTCAAAAATTTGGAGAAGTTATGCATAAGCATTTTGTCAGTAGCAATTACAATAACACCAGACTGGTATTTGGGTAAACTTACTAGCTGACATGGTGGTCAAGATAACCAGATTGTAGTAAGAAAGGAAAGTCCTAAAACTGAAGACTAATTTCCTCATGTTTTTGCTTGATTTTGAGTGTAAAACCCTGGGAATATGTATTTTCTTTCAAAAAAATAGCATTCTTGTTTGGATTCTCTTTATGTAAACAGTAAATAAGGTTGCATGAGAACCCGAGTTAACACTAATCGAAGGCAAAAGACAAAGTTGAAGTTGTGTGCTTAATGTTTTAAAAAGAGAAATTTTTTTAACAGAAATTTTAATTCTAGCTTCTTGCAGTAAATAAACTTTAGTCTTTGCTTGGCAGATATAGATACCATTGTTTCCAAGTTAACCCATTAAAATTTTATTTGTAACTCGGGTGTGGAAATCTGTTCTTTTTAAAAAAATTGTGTCAGCTCTGGCTGAGGTGCTATTGGTGCTCAATTAATTAGAAGTGAAATTTACTGTAATCTCACCTAAATCTCAGTTAGCTCAATTTGACCTGACTCTAAAATTCTATTACAAAATCCCAGGATTTCTGCAACACATTCAGATGTGTTCATCCAAAGCCTAATGCAAAGCAGTGGTGAGTAAGGGTCACCCACACAGCCCCAGCTGCAGCAGTGCTCAGGAACTGGGAACCTCAACCTCCACGTGCAGCCCTGAGTGCCCGGTGTTGTCAGAGCCAGGGAGCCTCAGAGCAGTGTTGGGAGTATTTAAAATACTGCTACAACAGAAGAGGGACCATGCCAGAGGAGAAGGTTGGGTGAGTCAGTCCACTGGCATGGGACTCACGTGGCTACATCACCAGCTGCCACTGGTGCAGTGAGTGTGGCCAAGCAGCTGTTACATTCTTTTTTTTCTAAGAGTCCACTTTGTTTTGATGCCAAGAAATAGGTTTTCCTAATCATTGACTCCTGTGAATATTAAGACTCCAACACTCTTGAGAACAATCAGATCAATTAATTAGAAAACTGTTACCATGCTGCTTTCATAAATCAAGGATTAGCTCGTGATCCATAACTTCAAACAGCCTTTTAGCAGCTATTTTCTTGAAGCTCTTTCCTTTAAAATACTAATACATCCATCTTCTGATTCAGAGGTTAAGAGTTCTTCTATTAGTGTTGCCTTCAGAAATATATTTGATGGAAAATCCCTTAGATAGTCTAATGATGTGGTCCAGTTGCTCTGAAGTGCACAGGCCCCTTACAAATGCTACTCAAAAATCAATAACAATCCTTCAGTGCCTTCAAAGGATGTGGAGTAAGGGCCTTAGTAATAGTGATTGTCTTCAGCAAATAACTGCTCAGTGATTATTCTGCAGTGGCCTAGAAGTCCAAATTCCCCTCGATAACTTTCAAAATGGATACATGCTGGGAAATGTAAAATCATCCCTAGCACACAGGTCAGTAGCTGAACTTTCTGGCTAAAGTACCTACTTATTTACTCTGTTGCTTTGTCATTATTGACATAAGATTTTGGAGAGGAAAGTCTACTAAAAAAAGTAAGTTCTAAAATAGTAGGTCAGCAGAGTGTATCCACTTTACTCGGCTTCACTACCACAGCAATTCTAGAAGTTCTAGTCCTGGTTACAAGGGTCTCAGCACTTCTAATATTTGCACTTTATACACAATACAAGAAGTCACGTAAAATGCACAGCAAGTACAGTCAATGTGCCCCACAAAGTGGCTCAACATATTTCTTATAGACTTGTCTTGACTTATTTGCCCACCCTCAAGGATACACAAAATTTCCAGAATCTCATGTTTTCAGTATCTCCTATGTTTGCTAAGAGATCAGGCTTTCCTGAAAGTCTTGGTTGCATCCAATTCACTTTCAAAAATTCGAGTTGTGAAAAAGTTCTGTCTCTCCACAGAATTCTTGGAAAATGAGTGTTCCAACTTTCCGAAGAAAGAAGGTTCTTGGCACACAGAATGGAGAACCTTGCTACATTTATGCTTCACCCTATCAAAACTTTTAAGTAAAAATATCGGAAAAAATTGTCTATATACATACACAGATCGACTGCCAGTGATGTTACTTGCTAGAAGATATAATGAAGTAATGATATAATAAGAAAAATATCTTTGGAAATATAAAGACAGTGATGTTTTTGTATGTTAGCAAAAGAACTACAAAATAAAGACTGAAGCACACCCAACTGTTGTTTTAATCCTGCATTAGATTTAAAGTATTTTTATTTCAGTCATCTCTCAAGTATTAATGTAAAGTTAAAAAAACCGAAACCCTCTTTGCAGACACGCTGTACCACCATGTTGAGCTCTATGGCTCCATTAACCATAATAAAATCATTGTCATGATTTTTTCCTTCATGCATAGTATAGTGTTTGTGTGAATGTTTGTTGTGACTGGAAGTATATTTTGCCATCCAGCAGCTGACACTATAAGTTATGCAATCCATAAATATAGAGAAAATCTTAGCGTGATTTCAGACCCAGTTTCATTGAGAACAATTCTCTGAACTGGCCACTCTCCTTGTGAGGACATTCCAGTAGCTTAGGGGTTTTTTTCATTTCAAAAGACTTTGAGAACAAATGTTATGTCCAAATATATTCTCTGCAATAAGCATAAGGAAGTGAAATAAATTAGACTAAGTACCTACCCAGGAGTAAAATTACGTTTTACAGGCATGAGTGCTACCAGAGCTATCAGACTCAGGGAACCCTTTACAATGTAGCTCTTAGTGATATGGTAATAATATGATACTTTAAGCAAGGTGTTGGCTGAATCAGACAAGTTAATCTCAACTATATGTTAGTCAAATCATTTTATCCTCTAAGTTGATTTTAGTCCATTAAGACAGCCTTTTCACTTCACAGTGTGTACAGTCATTACATTTCCCTCCCTTCATGTGTCTTCACTCAAAGCAGCACTCAACCACTTTGGAGCTTATTAATGTTAACAAGAATGTGGTCTTAATACAGTGTCAAATGAAGTCAGAAAGAGTCATGTGGATGATAGCAAGAGAAACTGCATCAGCGTGCACGATGTTATCATGCAGATGAGAAATATAAATGAGGGATGAAATGCAATTTAAGTCAACACTCAGATGAAAAACAAATGTGCCACTGAAGACAAACAATTTCTGAAGCAGCTGTATAGGAGTCCTTCCTCACTTATAATTTTTGTAATGGGATTGAAAATCAGAAGAAATCAGAATTGTTAAGCAATCAGGAAATAACAGATATTTTCACTGAAGTTGTTGCATTTCAGTGAAATTCTTATCTTTCACTAACAAGGCAAGCATTATAAAACATACTGAGTTAACTGCATGAGCATGCAACAGGCTTGTGTATTAAAGCTGTTCATTTGGCAGAGAGACTAAATAGACCTAAAAGCTTTCTAGCTCATTTTAACACCTTCTGTTTTTCTCATTAAAGCTAGCACTGATGTTCAGTTATTATTGTAGGATTTGATCATATTTACAAACCCTTGTTACCTTTCCTCCTTAGAGACCTGATCTGAATCACTTCTGAATATCTAGCAGATGCTCAAAATATTCAGTTCTTGGAAAGAGGCGACAGACTCTTTAAACACCATCTGAAGCACTGCTGCAATCTCTAACTACTGTGCCTAAAAAGAAAAACTTTCCTTGAAGACAGTTTCAGACAAGTACCTGCTGCTGGTTTTATCCTTTGAATCAGCTTGTGCTGATCACTGAGGATTCAGGATCCTAGCCTAGATTAATCCCATACAGCTTTACAAAGTCCGTATGTTAAATTTGTCTCCAGTACTTATGCTCAACATTTGCAGTACTACTTTTGACATAACAGTCCTTGGCCTCCAGCCTCTGGTAATAGAAGAAATGTAACTACT